AGATTCCACCCGCCCGCAGGCCTTTCTGGGAGAGAGCAGCGTTCTGGGGTGCAGGCAGCCACCTTTCAATCGGGACGTCGGGCTGCCCGGCCAGGGCTCCGCTTCCCAAGTGACGTGGGCCGTGTGCTGGGCTTTGCCGTTGACCCTCCTCAAAGTGGCGGGAAGATAGACCTGCCCCCTCACGCACATGCACACGCACACGCACACGCACACGCACACGCACACGCACACGCACAAGCTAGAAAGCCACGGAGCTGCCCGGTTGAGCACAGGGTCCGAGGACCAGCTCGGCCTCCCCTCAGTGCTTGTCCCCGGCCCCGGCCCAGCGCGTGGAGGCCCATGTGCAGTGTGTGGAGGCCCCGGCCCAGCGCGTGGAGGCCGATGCTTCTGCAGCCCCTCTGGGACCATGCAAACTGCTGCTGCAGTTTGACATCGACCGCATTTCCTAGTTCGTGTCCGGTTGCCTGCGGCTCGACCCGCACTGGAGTGCAGAGAATTGAACGCTGGCCAGAGCCTTCCTTAGCGTTTCGATGTGACTGTAAAACCAGGAGAGACCTGCCCGCGTGGCGGGGGGAAGGATGGTGTTTGTGACGTGTCTTGCCCGCCCTCCCCTGGGATTAGCTGAGAGCGGGGTGCACCGGAGCCTGTGGGCTGTGGGGTGTCGTTTCGGGGGCTCACTCGGCGGCTCCGTCTCCGCAGGTACATGATGATGAGGGACTGCTGGCACGCGGTGCCCTCGCAGCGGCCGACCTTCAAGCAGCTGGTGGAGGACCTGGACCGGGTGCTCACGCTCACCACCAACGAGGTAAGCGCCCTCGTGCCCGGCTCCTGGCCCGGCGCTCCGCGCCGTAAACACACCTGCCCTGTCCGAGTCCGGGTGCCGTCCATCATCAGGCCAGGGGTCAGGCAGGGGTCAGGCAGGGGTCAGGCAGGGGTCAGGCAGGGGCCAGCAGGTTAACCTGTGCTCTGCCAGGTCCTGGTTTCCTCAGCTGCATGGTGAGTGTCTGACTCACACAACCAGAGCTGCGGGCCCTGCGCGAGCCGTCCCTCACCATGGCGTTCCGGCGCTGGGCCCGGGGCGTGTGTGTGCGTGCACGTGTGTATGTATGCATGTGTGTGCACACGTGTATGTATGTATGTGTGCATGTGCATGCACGTATGTGGATGCTGGTAACCGGGGTGGGAGCTGCTGATGCTCAGGTCCCGATGGGCGTGATGCATGGAGGCCCCGCCCTTCCCGCTTCCAGACAACACGGGAGCCGTCAGTCCCTCCCGGACCCCGCCTGGCATGGCGTGTGGCTCGCGGCCTCACCCGTGTGCACATATATGTCCACACGGTGTCACAACAAGTAACCACTGGGATGTTTAAGGGAAAACTGGCACCTTTTGCTAAAATACTTATTTTCTAGAAAATATGTAGAGTCGGTGCCCATGGTCCCTCATTGTCTGAGTTGAGAAAGAAAATAATAGATTTAAATGTTTGAATAATACACGTTATGGCTTCAGAGTGATTAAGAAATAAGCCAGAACTTGTCGGGGGCTCTGACTGGCTGGGAGGGGAAAGGCTGCGCTTCAGGGAGCGCGGGTGCCCTGCAGGGGCCGAGGGACGGCCTCGCCGGGAAACAGCCTTCTTCTCCCGCCCAGCGGTGTTCCCAGTGTCAGTGCCTCAGCCCCGGGCGTGGGGTCCGGGACGTGCCGCTCCCCGTCTGAGCCGAGCGTGGACGGCGGGGACGTCACGGAGCCTCCAGTTCGGCGAGCTGACGGCCGGGCTCAGGGCTGCGTGTCATGTTTACATTTCCCGTGGGCCGTGCGGGCCGAGGCCACACCAGCGCCCGGTGAAGCCGCGGCTACAAAACCCAAGTCTCTTCCCGTCTGAAAATCACTGCCAGATGCTCCGGGAAAATGGTTCCATTTAGGACGAAGTTTCACTTTTATCGTCGTCAGCAAAGCGCGGGCTTGATGTGGTGGCTTCTTCCCGGCGGGTGGTTACCGCGGAGGCCGTGGGGGCGGCCACAGCCCGTCGGATGGGACTCGCTCTCGCCAGCCCTGGCGGTGGATGGGGGGGGGAGGTTCTTTTCGATGCACAGCCGCCAGCATTCTGTGGGCTCCTTTCTGACAACCCGACCGGCCGCTTGTGCTGTGTCTGCACTTCTCGCCGCCTCTCGGCATAGGACGGGGGAGGGGGGGGCCTGGCTCCGGGTGTGGGAGCGACACCCCGATGTGCTGCCCCAGGAGGCAGTGGGGCCCGGGGGCTCCCGTTCAGGGGTCTCTCCGTAGTGTCAGGGCGGGGAGGGGGCAGGAAGGATTCCACGTGGGGCCACATGGTCTCTGTCGCCACAGCTCTGCTCTGCCTGGACCCAGGAAGCGGCCACAGACACTGCGTCAACCAACACGCGTGTCCGTGTTCTGGGGAAGCTGGGTGGACCCTCACATGTCATTTTATGTCATTTTAAAGCCGTGAGACATTTTTAAAAAACATTTTTTTGGTTAATCCTCACCTGAGGATATTTTTCCATTGATTATTTTAGAGAGAGAGAGACTCATCGATTGGTTGCCTTCTGCACACACCCCGCCAGGGCCCGGGCCGGGGAGGAGCCTGCAACCAAGGTGCGTGCCCTTGACCGGAATCGAACCCGGGACCCTTCAGCCCGCAGCTCACGCTCTGTCCACTGAGCCAAACGGGCCAGGACGCCATGAGCTATTCTTCGTCTTTTTGTTGATTTTACTTTTTCCCTAGCCATTTAAAAAATGGTAAAACCGCTCCCAGGTCCCTGGCCATTGCGGCCGCGGTGGGTCCCGCCTGCCTTCGGCCGCAGGGGCGACTCCTGGGCCAGCGGGGCTCCGAGGGCGGGAGAGCCTTGTGAGTTGTAAACCTTCAGAGCTCGGACACTGGGCCTGTTTTCCTAAACTGTCCTTGACGGTCCCTTGTGGATGTAATATCGCCGCGTCCGTCCGAGGTCTGGGGGACCCTGTGTGCGTTTCGAAGGCAGAGAGCGTCTGAGCGCATGAGTGACGTCTGTGAGATCGCCCCCGAGTGAAGACACGCTCCCCCTGCATTATCCTAGAAACTACAGGCGTAAAACGAAATTCGTTAAGTGAACATGCATGTCCTGGACCCACATCTATGCCCTGTCATTGTGCCGGGCTCGAATTTTTATTTCAGAGAAGAGAGAGAGAGAGAGAGAGAGAGAGAGAAAGAGAGAGAGAGAAAGAAACATCAATGATGAGCGAGAATCATGGATCCGCTGCCTCCTGCACGCCCCACACTGGGGATCCAGCCCACAACCCGGGCCTGTGCCCTGACCGGGAATCGAACCCTGACCTCCTGGTTCCTAGGTTGACGCTCAGCCCCGGAGCCACACGGCCAGGCTGGGCTAGAATGTGAGCCCCGTGCGCCCGAGAGGGGACAGAGAGGAGTGAGCAAGTCCTTGGGCCGAGCGCCTCCAGCCCAGCTGGGCTCACCGTTCCCCACGGGTCAGCGTCCATCGGTGACGGTTTTAACACAAAGCCGAGGGCCGGCCGCCTAGAGGGGATGGGGCTGCGGCCAAGGAGGTCGCTGTGCAGCCCGGGGTGGGGGGGGGAGCGCGGCTGGCGGCTGGGTCTCAACCCTTCAAGGTCCCCTGTCCCGTCCCAGCTCCCGGGACAACCTCTCGAGAGCCTGCGTTTGGAATAAAAGGCCTCTCGTCCCTTCTCTCAGGAGCACCTGGGCCTGGGCAGCCCCTCCAGCGTCCTCACCGGTTACCCAACCCGAGAGGTGATAAACGTCTCTCTCGTCCCGGCTGGTGTGGTTCAGTGGATAGAGCGCCCGCCTGCGGACTGAAAGGTCCCGGGTTCGATTCCCGGTCAGGGCACAGGCCCGGGTTGCGGGCTCGATCCCCAGTGTGGGGTGTGCAGGAGGCAGCCGATCCATGATTCCCTCTCATCATTGATGTTTCTCTCTCTCCCTCCCCCTCTCCCTTCCTCTCTGACATCAATACAAATACCTTTAAAAACAACAGAAATAACAGGCTCTGTCCTTCCCTCAGGAGTACCTGGACCTCAGCCAGCCCCTCGAGCAGTACTCGCCCAGCTACCCCGACACCAGGAGCTCCTGCTCGTCGGGCGACGACTCCGTCTTCTCCCCGGACCCCATGCCCTACGAGCCCTGCCTCCCGCAGTACCCGCCTGTCAACGGCAGCGTGGACACCTGAGCGGGCGTGTGTCCCGCCCCCTCCCAGCAGGGCGGGCGGCGCGGGAGCCTGGCCGCACGGAGCAGGGCCTGCCTCGGAGCTGTGTCTCCGACTGTACATATGGACCGGAGGACGCGTCGTTGGGAGGGTCCGAGACAGGCGTGTAAAGATGACACCATCGGAAACCTGTCGTCTTCGCCAGGGGATGAGGGACGTTTCCGGGGCAACGGAGGGCCGCCGTGGGACCGCACGCCCGTCGCCCGCCACCCACCGGGCCGGCTGTGGGCCAGCCGGACTCAGGAGACAGACTCGCGTCTGGCCTCGTTGTGAATGTTGTAAGAAGGGGAGCAGGGGAGGCGGCGCACGCACAGGGCACAGAGGGCACAGAGGTGCTGGGTGTATGTACATAGACGCAAATTATGTATAAATATATATTATATATTTACAAGGAATTATTTTTTGTATTGATTTTAAATGGATGTCGCGGTGCACCTGGAAAATTGGTCTTTTTTTTTAAAAAAAAATAGCTATTTGCTAAATGCTGTTCTTACCCGGAGTTTCCTAATTCTCACCGAGCAGCGGTGGGAGGTACTTTTGCTTTCAGGGAAAATGGTATAAAACATTAATTTATTAATGGATTGGTAATATACAAAACAATTAATCATTTATAGTTTTTTGTTTTTAATTTAAGTGGCATTTCTCTGCGGGCGAGTTGACCGGCTGCTCCGACGTGGCTGGTGGCCGGGTCCCTTGATGAGAGAACTGGTGGCAGATCTGACCGGTGGGGGAGGCGAGGTTCGGGGTGCGAGCTCTGCTGTCAGGGCCGTCAGACCGCCTGCAGGAGCCGGGGCTCGGGCGAGGGTGTTGGTGGGCGGCTTGGTCATGGGCGCCCGTGGCCGCTCCCTGCTCCTGCCCGGCCGGTGGGACCAGCTCCTCACACAGCTGCCCTCGCCCGGCCTCGCCTCCCGCGGCGGCCCTGCCCGCGGCGCAGCCGTCAGATGGGCCTGTGTTCTCATCGGGGATTGGGTAGCGGCTCCCAGGTTCGTGGGCGGCAGAGCAGCTCTTAGGGTCTCCATGACTCACCGTGGGGAACGGGGACGCCGGTTCTTCCGCTGAGCGTTTGGGGTTTATTCCATCTTGTTAAGGGGTGGCTCCCGGCGGCTCCTGACGGCTCCCGGCGGCCTCGCCGGCGGGTCCGGCCAGTTTGGCGGCAGAGGAAGCCTATTTCCCGCCGAGGGTCCCGTGCGAGAGGACTGTTTTGCTTCCGAAACGCCCCTCACGCTGCGGTCGCCGTGCGCCACACATGCAGAATACACTGACTGTACGTGCCAGGGCCTTGGGGAAAGTGATTTAATAAAACCTGTTAATTTTTATACTGACAATAAAATGTCTGCAGATATTAACGTTAACAAGACAAAATAAACGTCACGCAGCTTATTTTTTTACACTCGTGTCTCGCCCGGTGGTTTCCTGGGCTCGGAGGGGTGGCCGGTGCTGTTCGCGGGGCAGGAGGCGGCGTGGGGGTCGGGTTTGTTACAAACAGGGACCTGCGGGGGGGGGGCTGGCCGGGGCCGGTGCCCAGGACACAGGGGCCCCAGGGAGGTGGGTTCCTCACAGGCTGCAGGGCACCATCTCCTTCCTGGGCTCCCCTGCTCCCCGAGGACCCGGTGGGGGTGGTGAGGGGCAGAGCTTTTCCAAGCTGCAGGGGCGGCAGGGGGTGGGGCGGGGGTGTGTGTGCAGGGGGGTGCGGAGTGGGGGCACGGAGCGGGTCCCACAGGAAGGGGACGCCTGGGGGTGCCGGGAGACACTCAGCAGCCGGTCTCAGCTACACGGGGCCCGGCCACCAGTGCTGGGAACGAGAGGTCGGTCCGCTTGCTGCTCCGTCTGCGGGGCCCGGGCAGGGGGTGCGAGGGCTCTGCTCTCACAGGCGGGAGCTTGAGGTTCCCAGGCCCCCTGCCTGGGAAACGGTCGAGTCAACCAGGCGGCGGCCGTGCGCGGCGCCCGGAGAAACGACCATCGAGATGGCGGCCGAATCGGACTGTTGACCTCTTGCGCTGGTGACGTGGCCCCTCGTGGATCTGTCTGGACCTTCATCTCGACCCTGAACCGGTTCCACCAGCTCGGGCGGACCGGGGGCCCGCAGGGCGGCTCAGCCGCAGGCGTTCTCTCTGTTTCCTTTTACGAATGTGCGTCTGTGATGATGTTCTCAGTGTATCCACGAGGCTGTGCAACCATCCCCACCACCTGACTCGGGGCCTTTCACCCCAAAAGAGCCCTGTACCAGTCAGCAAGCACCCCAACCTGGCCACCACCCAGCCCTGGCCACCACCCAGCCCTGGCCACCACCCAGCCGCCCGGCCTGTACCCAGCCGCCCGGCCTGTGGCGCTGCCCGCGCTGCCGTTTCACGTGGACGGAGTCACGCGCGCGGTGTTGGGTCTGGCTTCTGTCACTCGGCCTCGTGTTTGAGATCCACCCTCGTGGCCGCATCTCCCAGAACCTCATTCCTCCTGTTCCCGATTCCACTGTGTGGATTGTACGTTTGTTGCTGATGGACGTCTGGGCTGTGTCCACTTTTTGGCCATTAGGGATAGAGCTGCTGTGAACATTCGTGTACAAGTTTTTAAAAAAAATGTATTTTAATTGATTTTAGGGAGAGAGAGAGAGAGAAACATCAATGATGAGAGGGAATCATGGATCGGCTGCCTCCTGCACGCCCCGCACTGGGGACGGAGCCTGCAACCTGGGCCTGGGCCCTGACGGAATTGAACTCTGACCTCCTGGTTCATAGGTCGACGCTCACCCACGGAGCCACGCGGCCGGGCCAGGTACAGGTTTGTGTGTGGACACAGCTTGCCTCCTCCCGGGGGTCTGTCCCCCGCCCAGCGGGCCTGCTGGGCCGGCGGGTTCCTGTTGCACCTCGTGAGGGTCTGCTTTCCACGGCGGTTGCACCCTTGACACGCACCAGCGATGCAGGCGTCCCGATGTCCCCGTCTGTGTCCGTGTGTCCGCGTTTATCGCAGCCTCGTCCTCTGGGGTGAAACGTCTGCCTAAGAACCTGGTAGCTGAGGTGCCATTCGGATCCTGGATCAAAGCTGATCCTCCCACCGACTGGGGTTTCCCGGAACAAGACTCCACGCGGTTATAGGCCTGGCGCTGGCTCTTAGCGTGTGGCCTCGCCAGCCCAGGGGCTCAGTGGAGCCGACGTGTGGGGGGCTCGGTCCCGAGTCTCAGTCCTCGTGACTGAGAAAAGGGAGCGGGGCCCGGCCACGCGAAGGCGAGCGATTCCTGGGTGGCAGCGTGAGCGCAACCCGACCCCACACCCCAGCTTCCTTCCGAGAAAGCCTGGGGAGCGTGAGTGTGAGCGTGCGTGTGAGTGTGTGTGTGAGTGTGAGCGTGCATGTGAGTGTGTGTGAGTGTGAGCATGTGAGTGTGTGTGAGTGTGAGCGTGCATGTGATTGTGAGCGTGTGAGTGTGAGCATGCATGTGAGCGTGTGTGAGCGTGCATGTGAGGGTGCGTGTGTGCACATGTGTGAGTGAGCGTGCGTGTGACCTGTGTGTGAGAGTGAGTGTGAATGTGAGCGTGCATGTGAGCGTGTGTGTGCTTGTGTGTGTGAGCGTGCGTGACTGTGAGCATGTGTGTGAATGTGAGTGTGAGCGTGAGCGTGCATGTGCTTGTGTGTGTGAGTGTGAGCGGGCTGCAGGGCTGAACGCCGTTGCTTGTGCTCCTACTTGGAGCCTCCTCGTCCGCGTGGGGATGTATTTGCCTTGTGATGTTTTCGGAGCTGAACACGTTCCTCTTCTCTCGAGTCTCGTCCCCAGGAAGCCTGGAAGCGACGGGGCTGGCGGGAGGCAGAGCTGCCGGCCCGAGTGCCACTGGAAGGGCCCCTCTGTGTCCTCGTTTCCGTGGGGTTGCGGGGGTGGGGGGTGAGGGGGAAGTGGGGGTCCTTGAAGTTGCCCCCCAGTCCTGGGGGGTCACACAGGTGCTGCCGGGGACAGCGGACACGGGACAGTCAGCGTCGACCGGTCAGGAGCCCAGCGGCTCTGGGGACCCGGAGTAGAGGTCAGCGTCCTCCGCTCTGCGAGGGGCCAGACCCCGTGAGACCCACTGGGGTCACGTCCGCCCCCACCTCACCCCCAAAGGCATTTCTATGTCTTAAGTCCGTGAAAACGAGGCTCAAAGTGTTTTAAAACCACCGTAAAGTTACGTTTACAGCTTTCGGCCTGTAACGTCCCCTTTTTTAAAACACAGTTTGCCCTGTAAACACTGCCAGGCGACGCCTGTAAAGCTTTACGGGCGAGTCAGCACTTTCATTTATTTAATATATTTCTAATTATTTCAGAGGAAGGGGGGGAGGGAGAGAAACATCAGTGATGAGAGAGAATCATGGACCGGCTGCCTCCTGCACGCCCCCCACTGGGGATGAGCCTGCAACCCAGGCCTGTGCCCCGACCGGGAATCGAACCCTGACCTCCTGGCTCATAGGTCGATGCTCAGCCCCTGAGCCCCGCCGGCCGGGCGGCTTGCACATGTTTAAAGGTTGAAAGAAAAGACAGAAGGTCCCTCTGGTGGCCCGTGAAGATCGCAGGGGCCGGGAGGGGAGGTGTCTGGGCGCCCGGCCGGCGTCCACCGTGCACTGTGCACCAGGGGTTGTGTTCCGTGGTTGTGACAGAGACCGCCTGGCCCACGACGGCTGCGAATGTCACACTCGACTGCCCTTTGCCGGCAGCCGGCGACCCCGGCGGAGGGAGCGGGGTCAGGCCCCGGCAGGTGGCTTGGGGTGGGGACAGGCGCAGACCCAGGCCCTGAACGCGGGGACGCTGTCGGGAGTGGGAGCCTGCAGGGCAGGCGGCGGGCGTGACGGGCACAGAAGGTGGTGCTGGCCCCGCTAGGGTCGGTCCTCTTAAGATATTCTCGGAGACGTGACGGAACGGGCCCACCTGGCGCCTAGTCACTAATTCATTACATCGAGATATGGCCAATAAGTGTCCCCCAAACCCACTGCTTAATTAGACCGTCAATTGAGACTCAGCGATGACCCGGTGTTAATTGGTCCGCTAAGGGTTGACTACGCATTTCTTCCCC